TACTCTGAAAAAAAAATAGAGGATATAGATATGATATAGATTAAAAAGGTAGATTATTGAATCTACTTTTAAAAAACAAGTACTAGTTTTAAATACTTTACATTGGATTGGATTTTTATATCTTGTATACAAATTATAAATATATACATATATTGAGATTGATATTGTTAGAAAATGCTGTATATATATTTCTAATCTTGTTCAGGATAGTGTACTTATACAGTTCATTTAACAATGTAATGCAATTTGCTAATCCTTGAATGTTATTACCAACTATTAGGAAATAAAGAAATGAAAGCTAGTAGTTAGACATTACAACCGAACTTGTAGTCATACTAGGTATGTTTTAAAGGTCAAGTAGAGATATATTCAATAGACAGGTCATCTTCAAACCCTTCAGAGATCTACAGAATATGGCATTTAAAATGTTTTGTTTTTCCATCAGAGCTGAGGACTGAACCCAGGGCCTTGCACTTGCTGGCCACTTTAGGGGTTGGGGATTTAGCTCTACCACTGAGCTAAATCCCCAACCCCTAAAATGTTTTAATAACTTAGAATTTTTTCTTTTTTTATGACTATGAGAAATGTCGACTCCTGGCAGCACCAATCTACTTCAGAGAAGATATGGGCATTGAAGAAACTGCATATGGAGTTAACTTTCATTGTGGCAAAAGTTAGCCACTGGACAACAAAGCGCCCTTGCATTGACTGCTGACAGTATCCTATCCAAAATGGACAAATAGGACACAAAACAGAGGGCTACCGATTCTTGCCAAAACAAGTGTGGTTGCGGCTTTAGCAACAGGCGTCCTGAGGCCAGGACAATATGGCCCCATCCCTGAAGTGGCTTTGCAATCCAGAAAAGGTACAGTGCCCCTTTCTTCGAAGGCAGCTGAATGGGCAGTGGACCAATGGCTCCTGGTGTGCAGTGGAACAGCAGCTGAAACAGTTATTCTTGAGAGAGTAACTAAGCTGATGGAGTCTAACTCTCAATGGTAGAATGACATTTAATAAAGGAGATGAAGCCACCCACAAGCCGAGAAGAATGGGATGTGGAGAAGAATGGGATGCTGAGATGAAACCACCCACAAGCCGAGAAGAATGGACAGCCGAATTCCAAAAACACCCGCAATTTCCAGAATTTAAAATCCTGAATCATGACAGAACACTGGCGGAATTCAGGTTGATCTGGTCCATGGAATACTCACACCGAATGTGAGGACGAGCTGTAGGCCTTGTGTACATCCTACTTCACAAATGAGTCTGCCAGATAAGCTAAGCCTGTAGGCCAAAGATGAAGCTCTAGCATACAGAGGAACCTCAGGTAACTGTCCAGGCAGCTGGCTGTTTCTGTCATAACTCACATCTTTTTTGAAGTCGCTTGTCTGCACTTCCTGTTTTACTAGGTAATATTATTTCCTTCTTGGGTCTCTGAGGGAGTTGAAGATTAGATAGTTGTAGTAACAATTTCCCTTGTTAAGAAATTCAGAAAAGAAACTCAATAAGAGTGTTAAGTATAAAAGTTTGAAAGATATCATAAGATAGTTTTCTGTTGGTAATACAAGATAGGATAGAAAGTGAATTAGGTACATTTTGGACTCACCAAAATAGGACAGATAATGGAATATTTTCTCTGAATTTGTCAATGCAAATGGACTAGACATTGTTGATGTATTTATTGCTTGTATATATTGTATATAGTTACTGTACTTATTGTATATAGTTTTTCTTATATTAGTTATAACATTTTTATTTTTTTAATTTTTATTAGACAAAAAAGGAGAAATGTAGTGATATTTTATTCGTATGTT